ATTATCAAACTTCAAAAAGAAACTAAAGAAGAACTAATAGGAAAAACTGTTTTTATAGAATAATTTGAAATGGGTAGGTTGTACATGCTCTTCAATTTGATATAATGTCATCCATCCCAATCAAAATCCCAAAGGGAGCTGGAGAGATGGCTCAGCAGTTAAGAGTACTCGCTGCTCTTGCAGAAAACCTGTATTTCGTTTCTAGAACCCATGTGGCAGCTCACAATTGTCTATAACCGCAGTCCTAGGGGATCCGATGCCTCATCTTACATCAGTGGGACCAGGCATGCAAGTGGTGCAGACACACACTGCAGCCAAAACACTCACACACAAATAAAAGAAATCTATTTTTTAAATTCTAGTGATGTTTTCTCTGGAACATAAGGGGTCTTAAAACAAAAAGTACAAATAGTGAAAAAAGGCATTTCTGAGGAGCTGGAATAGTGTGAGCTTTGCCCTGATGGCTGTCAAGTTCTGCTGCAAGACTGACTGTAACAGTTAGTCCGCTCTCAGCTCAGAAAGAGGAAACAGGACAGAGCAGAGACTAGAAACAGAAACAGACCCAGTAAAGTGACACGGCTTACATATGGTTCAGATGTGTCCCCCACAGGCTCTTTCCTGCATGGGAAACTTCGTCCCTCGTGTGGAAAGGTGGTAGACCCTTTAATTACAGGACCAATGGAAGGTTAAGTGGACTGCTAGAGGCACTGTTCATGAAAAGGAGTAACAGTGACCCCAGTCACTCCTGGATCGTAGGAAAAGAGCCTAAGACTCTGACGACCTGTCACCACATGACCTCTCGTTCTGACCCATGTCCCCACCATGATGCCATTGGCCATGCTGGGATGCAGCCAAGCAATCCTTCAAAAGAAGACACACAAAGTCGCCCCTGGATCTTAACTTTCAGCCTCCAGAAATAGAAATTAAATAAGCTTCTTTATTAAGTACCAGTCTCAGATATTTTGTTACAGCAACAGACAACAGATGAAGCCACCACATACGGAATTTAGTGTACAATAGAGCTAACACTGCCGGCTACACAGAAATGAGGACCACTCATAAACCATTCTGGGACAAGAGGCTACTCACATATGAGAAATGATAAAATGGATCACTAATTTACATCATTTCCACATTTAAAGACCTAAATGGAAAAGATACATTTTTAACTCTTTTGGGGAAAAAAAAGGAGGGGGATTATTTTTGAGGCATCGAGTTAAGGGCTTCTAAACAAGAATCACAAGGTTTTAGTCCTATAGAGAAATTCTAAGTAATTTTTACCTGATTGAAGTTGAAAGCTGCTTTTCTGTATCTATATCCCCAACACTCACACAAAAAAATTGGGGTGTGTTTGTGCATATCTATACTCCAGCCAAGTGGAAGCAGAGACGGACAGATTGTTACAGGTAATCGGTGAGCACAGGATTCAGTGAGAGACCCTGTCTTAAAGGTAAGGCAGAGAGAAATCAAGGAAGACACCAGCATTAACCTCTGGCCACCACATGCATGTATACACATAAATAGACACAGACACATGCACACACACACACAGGCACATACGCGCACACACACACATACACACAAGCTACACATGTAAATAAATAAGAAAGAATTAAATCTTGGCTGAGTGTTTGATATCATAAAATGTAGAACATCTTCAAAGTTTTTTCAAAGTTGATATAGATTTTATAATCATGAACACTGAGAATACCACTTTGCATAAAGACCTAGTACAAACTGACAGGAGGCATATTTAGGGTCCATTTCAGATATCGTTGGAAACTCTGTCCTAATTACAAGCCAAAATTCCTTTCACAATTTATTTATGAAACTCAAGTCTGCAACCCAAACATCAAATTTCAAATCAAACGTAACAAAGTACAGTCTAACGATCTACTAATTTGATTCTCATAGGCTGAGGAATGGCAGTAGCAAAATACGAAGTCTTTGTCTTCCATATTTAAATCATTATGATTCTGTAAGAACAGAAGAGCTTGCATAGACAGTAAAAATACTGCAATCCGCAGCAGACGCTAGCCTTGGGTTTGAGCTAATGCATTCAGGAAGTGTGCTGTGTGGTGTGACTGTGTGTGACTGTGTGCTGTGTAGTGTGCACACCACACACTAAGGCTGCAACACAGGCAAACACTGTCAGAAACCCGTCAGATGCAGCACACACTTGCTTTCCCCATCAATTCCTCACTGTGCATTCAGAAGCCTTTTACTGTTGCCTAACTTCTCATGGCCTCCACATTCAAACATGTGATCCATAACGGTTGGAATCAGTGTAAGAAGCTGGGCCCACCAGGACATTCGTCACAGGATAGTCAAACTGACGTTATTAAAACAAACTAATCACGTTACTCCCCTCTTCAGAGCCTCTCATGGCTTCCTGTCACAACAGAATAAACTCAACCTCCTTCCTTTAGCCTGAAAGGCTGGTCACGACTTGGTCCCTGCCTACTGCTCTGAGTGTATCTCCCTCCTGGATACAAAGAGCCACACCAGACTTCTGGACAGTTTAGAACAAACCAACTTTGTTGTCACGGGTCCTGAGAACCCTGCAGTTGAGCATCCCTCTCCCTGGATGCCTGCCTTTGTTTGAGAAATGGTCTCATGCTGCAATTCCGTAGCCCAGGCTAGCCTCAAAGTCCCATGGACTCGTCTGCCTCAACCTCTTGAGTTCTGGGATTACAAGCAGGAGCCACCAAACTTTTTCCTGAGACCTTTGGAGAGCCGTCCTCCTCATGATTCAAGGTTCAGCTTGAGAGTCCCCTCTTTCGAGAGGCCCTCTCCAACCTCTCCAGCCTTAAAATAAGCTGAAAATACCTATTTTAAGGGTAGACTCCATAGGGATTTGTATTTCTCATTTCTATTGTACTTCCCATTGATTTAAAGAGGACGAGGAGACCAAATCTGCATTAATGCTAAAAGCACTTAGTTGCTGATAATATGCTCTACACACTGGATTTGTAGGTCATTCATTCCTTCATTTCTTCATTCATTCAATATACACATGCATTACTCACATTTTAAGCAGTGTGCTAAAGAGGCAGAACAATATCCCAGCTCCTTTTTCTGCCCAGGTTAGATAAACACAATGCCACAAGAATATGCATGGGGTAACACTCTAGGCTGTTTAGCTGGAGGGGGTCAGGGAAAGGGTTCAAGTAGAACTGTGCAATCTGGGAAGAGTTGTGAGCCTAACAGCTAAACGGAAGGAAGGGAGGGGTAAAGAAAATCAAGTAAAAGGTTTGAACATGTGGACAAACATCATAACAGGACTGACATGAAGGACAGTCAAGGGATGAGAATGAGATGTAGCTATGACCTTTACAGGACACTAAGGGGTTCTGATCGATCCTCCATAGATCTGTAAGCATCTATGCATGTGTCCTCTAGACTGTGAGCCGGATCAAGAAACCTTTATTGTCAACTTGATTTAAAAAAAAAAAAGTCTTCAAAAAATTAAAAAGAATCTTAACAAAAGGATAGTCAGGGTCACCTAGATGACCACCTCTCATCTGAGTGCTGCCCAGGGTTCCGGGTCCCACATTTGGCTTTAGGAGTGCACTGTTCAGCAGGCTATACATTTGCCATGAGTACAGATGGAGTAGTGAAAACGTCCTGGCTAGTTTTAATCAACCTGACACAGACTAGAATCATCTGAGTAAGTAAACCTCAACTGAGAAAAATGGCTCTATATCAGTGGTTTTCAACCTGTGGGCCGTGACCCCTTTGGGGGAGACTGACCCTTTCTCAGGGTCACCTAAGACCATCAGAAAACCTGTATACTAACAATTCATAACAGTAGCAAAATTACAGTTATGAAGCAGCAACGAAAATAATTTTATGGTTGGGGGTCATCACAACATGAGGAACTGTATTAAAGGGTGGCAGCATTAGGAAGTTTGAGAATCACTGCTTCATAAGCTCAGACTGTAGGCAGGTAGGCCTGGAGGGCATTTTCTTAATTAGTTACTGATGGGGGAGGGCCCAGCCCCAGCCCATTGTAGGTGACGCCACACCTGGACAGGTGGTTCTGGGTTCTATAAGAAAGCAGATTAAGCACTGCCAGGAGTAAGTCAGGAAGCAGCACTCCTCCACGACTGGAGTTCGAGTCCCCGTTTTGGCTTCCCTCAGTGGAAGTGTGATTCAGGATGTCAAAGCTAAATAAACCCTTTCCTGCCCAAGTTGATTTGATTGTTGTGCTTCAGTGCAGCAGTGGAGACGTCAGTAAGGCACTGATGTACAGAAATGATGCTGTCCAGTGGGGATCAAAGAAAGTCCGGGCACGCTGGGCAAGGGAATTTTCCCAGTGGTTTAAATAAAGACTGGGGTACGGAGTAATCTGTAATCCTAGAAAAATATGTACAGGTCTCAGTGTAAGAACAGTATGCTTGAAGGACAGGACACACTGAGTGGCTTTCTGAGTTCTTAACGTCTAGCAAAACAGTATCCATGATCACAGTGAGTATGCCGGGCTACTGTAGTTGCATAGAAGATACAGAGGACTTTATATGTAGTTTTATATTTGCATATGTTTAGCATACTAAAAATATTTTAACAACGGAAGATCCTGGGTTGGACTGTGGGTGAGGAGGAGCCACCAAAGATGATGTGACAGCTTGTGCATTAGTGAAGTCACTAGACAAAAACTGTGTGGCAGGCTGGGACCGAAAAGACCCAAGTCTAGGCGGAAAGAGCAATCAGAAGGCTAATTAATAATACGGTAAAAGTGGGAAGGCACTGAACTACTCAGATGAAAAGACTGGACAGAAATAGAATCAAAAGGGGGGGGGGAGAGGCAAAGACAATGTAAAGACTTTCCTTGGGGAGCTTGGTGGTAAGATAACCACAGGGAGGGAACATTTCAGAACATGCTTGGTAAAAGAAGAGTGGAGGTTGCCCAAGTTGTGCACACGTGTGCAGTCCCTTCTTGCTCCCCACAGCCCCAGCCTGCTCACTGGCTGTCAAAAATGGGGAAAGAAACCACTTACTAGGATGAGTTAGGGGTCAAGCTTGATGCCACTCAGGAAGATCTGAACCCGTGAGAGGGCAGGTGGAGGAGAGACATGGAAACAGACTTCTCAAGCTGCTCCCAGAGTTCCCAGAGGACAAGCGGTTGGATCTGTTAGAACCAGAGGGCTTTGATCCAAACCAGGAGCGGCAGTGCCACTTCAATGGAGCAGCAAACGAGGGTGATGCCCATCCTGTCTGAGGGGTGGTCTGGGTCCTGCCATGGAATAACTGACTCATTGCTGGCACTTTATGTGCAGAAGTGAAAGGGTGGAGGTAGAATCACAACATGTCCACAGCTTGCTATTGTTTTTGTTGTTAATATTCAACCAGAGGGGTGCTTTAAAGCTTCGGGAAAGATAAGCACAGATGATACAAAGGCTCAGCTGGTCGGTGGGAGAGCTCTGACAGACGAGCTGCGGGGAGAAGAGAGGTGATGATGAGTGCAATTCAGCCACGATTTGCATTTTGCTTCAGCCAGAGGAAATCCAGATATATTTTTCCGGGTTCCAGTTTTCTCAGTGACAGCTGCATTCATGAATGACCAAATTAACTATTGTAGAGCTTTCTAAAAATACACCAAGCACTCCACCCTATGCCATAAGCAAGTCATGAAACATCAGGAAAAAAAAAAAAAAGCTAGACCCGGGGGGGGGGGGAGATAAATGCATCAAAGGTAAAAAGATAGTTTTTCCTTTCTTTCTCACTTTTTTTTTAAAACAAAACAAAAAATCCTAAGCGCTTAAATTGCGACCCAGCTGTCAATCAGAGAGCTGACATTACTGACTTTTTAAAAAGCATCTACTAAGATCATAGCATATCAAGTCTATGTGGGAGATGCACACACCACACTAGACGGGTTTACAACGAGGTAACGGTGGCATCTGGTATACAGTTACGGAAATTTTCATGTGCAGAGCTGGTTAACAGAGAATGCTAATTTTTACTTAGGGAAGTCAACCTGGATTATTTTAGGCAGTCCAATAAGAATGCAAGCGTTTCATATTTTATTCCCTATATGGGATAAAAACTGGAAGCAAGGAGAAGGGAAAGAGTAATTATCACAAAACCAGCCGGGGTCCCTGCTGTCCACACTAGGGTCTCTGGGAAAGAGAAATTTAATCTTACTTTGGTGGAAAACCAGCATATTTCACCACTAACTACATGACAAAAGCGTTAAGCGTTCATATAACCAAATGTTTAAGTTAGCTTCATCCACAAGGTCCCAAGCGTGGCTGAGAGAAAGGCGCAGGGCGTACCTTTGGAGGGTCCCACTGGACGCAACGCCCTCCGGACACGTGGCTAGAGCCTCGCAGGGCTGACAGGCTTCCAACCACCAGGGCGGAAAAGAATTGTACCCTGGGTGCGGGACTAGAGATGAGGCGCACGAGGAGGCGGCCTCACAGCGCCCCCAAAGGTCTCCCCGATAGCCTCGTGCAGCCCGGAAGCCGGCCCGACCCACCGCGCAGCCCCTACGGCGGCGCAACCTATTAGGGTCCGGAGAGGAGGACTGTGGGCGGGGCGGGGCGGGGCGGGGCGGGCCGGACCAGCCCTCGCTATGCCTGATGGGAATTGTAGTTTTGGTTATGAAAACCAAGTGGGGGGGAGGCACGGGAAGCTACATTTCCGGAAGAGGGAGTGGCTACGGCGGGCCGCAAGGTGCGGCAGTGAACCCGAGAGCTGAAGGAAAGGCCGTGCGGGCGCCGTTGCTGCTTCTCTTCCTTTGCAGCGAACGCGAGTGGTGCTAACTCTTGCTCACTGTCCCCGAGTGCCCAGGACGGGGATCCCACATCAGCTTTCCCTTGAGGCTCGCAGGTGGCGGCTGCCACCCCTCGCGGAAGTGAGGGGCGCGCCCCTCCGCGGCCCTGTGGACCCCCAGCCTCCATGGGCCCGACCCCGAAGGCCAATGTTTGCCGTAGGCTGAGTCGCCGGACTCTAGGCTTCTTCGCACGCGATGCGGGCGTGGTGCAGAGGGCGAACCTGGGCATCCTGCGGGCGCTGGTGTGCCAGGTGACGCTCACCGTCGTCGGGGTGCCTGGGGTCCATCCTCCCGGGGTGCATTATTTTTACGCGCTCGGATTTCCTTTGAGGGTCATAAGTGGGGAGGGACATCCGTGTCCTGCAGCTAGGGTGTTAGTAAATAGGTTCTTACAGGTCCATCTCGTGGCTTTAGTTTTTAAAAAGCTTTTGCCTTCCTGCAAACAATTGATGTAAAAGTTGGGCATCCCAATTAAACCAACACGTGTGGGCAGAGGGAGGAAGAATAAAAAACATTGTACTTGAAACAGTAGATTTAAACTACCCACTTGAAAATGATTTCACAGCAGTGGGCTGAGTTCTGTCTTAAACGGAAGTTCTTTGTATTTTTCAGGAGAGTACTAAATTTAAGAATGTTTGGACAACCCATTCCAAGTCACCTATAGCCTATGAAAGAGGAAGAATTTATTTTGACAATTACCGGTGCTGTGTCAGCAGGTAAATTCTTGGTGATGATCTTGTGCCATAATTCGTCTGACCGTAGTTTTTGTAGAACCACGTGGCCCCTTTAGTCTTAGCGAAATAGGAAGATTGAGTCCATAATAAAACTAGGAGGAAAATGCATGCGATTTTAAAACCTCGTTAAAGCTCAAGTTGCAGGTTTCGTCTTTGTAAATACTTATTTCACACAAAATTATAGCACAGGCAAAATAATATGTTACTCAGCACTGTATGCAGTTTTATAACGTTTAAGAGATCAGAGTCCAGCAAACAGGTTATGAAATAATTAGGTGCTGCTTGGGAGATGGGTGTTTGTGTTTTGTTTTAGGAGTGCTTACCTTTTTTCCAAGAGAATTCTTCAAACAAAAGCATAGTATTTATAGATGCATAGTTTTTATTAGCCTCATCCACCATCAGCCATGCTCAGGCTGCAGGAAAGCCACAGAGAGTTGATCCGTCCATAACAGCCGCCTAGATTAAATACTACCGATCCTGATTTACCTCTTTTTTTTTTATTTTTTTTTTAATCTTTTTTACTTTACACAAAGCTTCTTTATGTAGCCCTGGCTGTCCTGGGACTCAACCTTTTAGAACAGGCTGGCTTCTAGCTCAGAGATCCCTCTGCCTCTGCCTCCCAAGTGCTGGGATTAAAGGGGTGCATCACCACCACCTTTAAAGTACATTCTAGACACATACCCTTCACTTTACATCTCTAAAGATTATGGGCATTTTCTTTGTGTGTGGACTGAGGCAATAGGTCAACCTCCAGAGCCACTCCTCAGGAGCCATCCAACTTTTTGTTGAGACAGGGTCTTAATTCAGTGGACCAGGCAGCTAGGTTTTCAGTAGATGATGTAGCCCTGTGAATCTCTCCCTTCCCAATTCGGGGATTACAAGTGCCAGAAACCATGAGAGGCAGGATCTAAACTCAGATCCTTTTGCTTGCATGGCAAACATTTTACCCACTGAGCTTTTTCAGAGGTGATAACATCTAAGTTCTTTTCTCTTTTGTTTTGTTTTTGTTTTTAGAGGCAGGGTTTCTCTGTAGCTTTGGAGCCTGTCCTGGAACTCACTCTGTAGACCAGGCTGGCCTCGAACTGAAAGAGATCCACCTGTCTTTGCTTCCTGAGTGCTAGGATTAAATGTGTGTGCCACCACTGCCTGATGTAAGTTCTTCTATTATTGGATTAGGAACTAGCAGTCAGAGAGCCTAGCGATTTCTGAGGTTTGCCTTGACTCTAGTACAGTGGTTCGCAGCCTTCCAAATGTTGAGACCCATACAGTTGTGGTGACCCCCAACCATAAAATTATTTTGTTGTTACTTCATAGCTATAATTTTGCTATTGTTATGAACTGTAATACAAATATCTGATATTTAAGATATCTGATATGTGACCCCAAAGGGGTTGTAACCCACAAATTGAGAACCGCTCTTCTAGTAGTTATCCTTTTTGGTTCTTTGGCAAATCGACCGAACTACAATTTAGCCCTTAATGCTAGGGAATCTACCCATGACCCCCCATTCGCCCTTGGATGTGGCTTCCGATGGTTTCTAGAGTGCGCATATACTTGAATTCCTCCACGTCTGTTTCAAATGAAGTCAGATTTTTTGGGAAGAATGGTGGGCTGTCTGTCTGGAACTGTTTCTTTGCCCGTGCAGTCTTCGAGTCTCCAGGCCACCTCTGTGGAGCCAGTCACGGGAGTTGGTGGAGTGACTCCTTGAATGGTGGAAACTGAGCAGATCAGGTGCGCAGAATACTCAGCTTAGGAAAGAAAGATGAAGCCAGTCTGGACTTTGCAAAGAAAGAGAAGTGACATCCGGGTCCTGTCGTTCTACACTGTAGTATACCCAAGTAGAGCCCTCGTGGGGCCCACACAGAAGGGACTCGTGACTTTGAACCACACTAACACAGGACTCAGCCTGAACAACACATGACTGGGGCTGGATGCGAATGGTGTCACTCTGCCCGTTCTGGGGAGAGTTCTTCTGAGTCAAAACAGCAGCGGGGAGGGATCTAGAAGTCTTGGCTGGAACAGTTTGGAGCTGTGATACCTTCTTCCTGAGCTGGAAGAAGGAAGGAAGGAAGGAAGGAAAGGAAAGTGCCTGGTGCAGACACTGGGCTCCCGTTATCCTTCCTGAGTTCAGAGGGTTTTCTTGAATAAATGCTTCTCCATGTGCTTTTATAAGAACAACTAAAGGCTTTAAGTGGTGCCCTTTCATCATTTTCATCAGTTCTTTCTGAAAACTGTTTGAAGGCTCTGGTTCTAGCATTGGAAAGCTGGACACTGTCTCCTGTGTTCATGGCGCTCATCACCATACCTTGCAGTACTAACCAGGGTTAATACCAGCTCGTCACTTTCCCAAGGCAGAGATAGTTGTTTTGATTTTTAAAAGTTCAAGCAAAGTAAATGGCTGTTGATTAGTGTCCTAGGGATAAAAGATCCAGCATTCTTCACGTTGCTGTTGAGGAGTGTTACACCCACAGGTAGGATCACATGAGATTGCTTTCCCTCCTGTGATATTCTGTTTGGTTTAAACTTTTGAGTTACTATCAAAAGTGAATAAAATGTCATTCTAAGAATGTTTCTCTTCACAGTAGTCAAACTTTAAAGTTCATCAGCTGAAAGAAAACATCTATGACCACATCTCAGTAGTTGCCAGAGAAGTCGAGACTAGCGGGGGGAGGTGGCAGGCTTGTAGCCTCAGCCCAGGGAAGCTGGGTCCAGGATTGCTTGCGTGGGCATAGTAGCAAGACTGTTTCAAAAGTAAGCACCAAGGATACAGTGTTCACTTTTTCGGTAGAGAGGAGGGTGAATGCAGTTCTGGGGATAGAGCCTGAGACCTAACAAGCACCTTAGTCTTGAATGTGCTGGAAGAGAGAACGTACAGTGATAGTGGGAAGAGACACATATTTAATATTCCTGAAAAAATAAAATATACATAAAGAGTGTTTCCTTTTGTATCCACAAATGTTCATTCAAACTAATGTGTCTTAGAGTTTCTATTGCTGTGATGAAACAGCATGATCAAAGGAACTTGGGAAGGACAGGGTTGTCTGGTTTATACTTCCACATCACTGTTCATCAATGGAGAAAGTCAGGACAGGAACCGGGGAGCTGGAGCTGATGCAGAGGCCATGGAAGGGTGCTGCTTCCTGGCTTGATCCCTCTGGCTTGCCCAGCCTGCTTACTTATAGATCCCAGGACCCGCAGCATAGGGTAGGCACCACCAACAGTAGGCAGGGCCCTCCCTCTCATCAGTCACTAATTAAGGAAATACCCTACAGCCTTACCTAAAGCCCAATCTTTCTGACATTTTTTAAATTGAGATTCCCTCCTCATCACTTTAGCTTGTGTGAAGTTGACATAAAACTAGCCAACGCCTAATGAGAACCTTTTAATCTATACACAATCACTTTTAAATATCAGAGCAATAGAATGAACTTAATGGATTCAACAGTCTTACAGTAAATATTTAAGAATAAAAGAATTCAATATAGTGCTGTTTTGTAAAATGATGTTCAGATAGCTCCGTTTACATAAGAAACATCTAGAAGATGAACCAAAATATGTCTCTCTCTCTCTGTGTGTATGTGTGTGTGTGTGTGTGTGTGTGTGTGTGAGAGAGAGAGAGAGAGAGAGAGCGAGAAAGAAAGGGAGAGTAAGAGAGAGGTGTATGGGTGGGAGTACCTGCAGAGACCAGATGCAGTGATTACCTGGAGCTGGAATTACAGTTGTGAGCTGCCTGATGTGGGTGCTGGGACCAAACAAGCCATCTCTCCAGACCCTATTATAAACTATATTAATCTTGACTTTTTTTTTTTAACTTTTTTTTCTGTGTTTGTGTGTTATGAATTTGTGAGCAGAAAAAACAAAGAGTTAGGGGAAACAATAGCAATTTGTAATTTGGGGCTACAGACATGTGAAAGGCTGCCTCGGTTTAAAACAAATAATAATGTTTATTTTCTTTTTTCCCAGTATTGCATCAGAGCCAAGAA